GGAAAAGACCCTGATGCTGGGAAAGGTTGAAGGCAGGAGGAGAAGGAGGTGACAGAGGATGAGATGGATGGATGACATCATTGATTCAATGGACATGAGTTTGAGTAAACTCAGGGAGATAATGAAAGACAAGGAAGCCTGGCAATCTGCAGTCCATGGGGTCGCAAAGAGTCCAACAAAACAACAACAATTCTAATTAGGGGAAGTCCTATTCTAATTAGGAGTGTAGTAATTCTATTGGAGTGATGTTCTGGTTAGGGATGCAGCTATTCTAATTAGGGGAAAGGCTAGTCTAGTCACTTCAGTTGTGTCTGACTCTTTGCAACCGTATGGACTGCAGCCCACCAGGCTCCTGTGTCCATGGGATTCTCCAGACAAGAATACTGGAGTGGGTTGCTGTGCCCTTCTCCAGGGAATCTTCCTAACCCAGGGATTGAACCCATATCTCTTACGTCTCCTGCATTGGCAGGGGGGTTCTTTACCACTAGGGCCACCTGGACTTCCCAGGTCGCTATAATAAGTATCTAATAAGGAATACAACCATAACAAGATCCCTGTGACCACAGGGTCTCCAAGCATCTCAAGAGTTGGGCAAAAGCATGTTTCTTTTTTGGGTTAGAAGCACCAGGTATGGGGAAGTGTTCTGAAAGGAAGGAGAGATCAGATAATAAATCAGAGAACATTTACCTCAAGGCTGGCCTATTCTCAGGAGGGGTTGCCTATTGGTTCCAGCAGAGGGTGGGCCTGGGGTGGAGAGAAGAGGAAGCCAGGATGGATTAATAAGCACTTTGTCCCCTTGGTGGTGGGAACGAACTGTCAGCTAATTATTGACAAGGCAAGGCATGGGCCTACAGAGAGCTGAGTCTGGTCTTTTCCCATGTAAGCAAGAGGGCCCAGGGGTGTCATCTAAGTCACATAGCTGGGGGAGGGTTGCTGGGAGTGATTCCCAAAGCACCAAGGGCCTGACTTCTTGACCTTGGCTGTGTTCTGTGGTCACAGGGCTGGACATTGTCACTCCAGATTCCTCACAGCTGGGTTCAAATCACAGTACTGCTCCCTAGGGCAACTGATCTGGTCAGGAGACAGGGCTCTTTAGTCTTAGATTCCAGGCCTGTCTGAAGGCTGTAGGGAGAGTTCCATCAGTTGGAAAATGTAAACCTGAGCTGTCGAGACTCCTCCTTAAATATTGACTTTGCTATTGTACCTCCAACCAGATAATCCAAGCACCTCAGGTGAAAACTCTGGAATAAAGCAGAAGGTCTATTTGTGAAAGGAGTGTTTACCTCTGTATTTATTTCTCATTTCCATAAGTCTTCCAGGACTTTGGGGCTGTGATGAGGTGCCCCCCCCAAGACCTCCCCATAAGGGAGGTGGGTAGACCCATGGTCTGCAGGTACAGCACAGAAGGGGTGCCTCTGAGAACAGGACAGGGCAATGGCGGGTCACCAGAGAGAGGCTGATCAGCAGGGACTTCGAGAAAGGAGCCCCAGGCATCTGGGTGCTGACAGTCTGGCATCGACCAAGGGAGGGGACCTTGGCCAGAGGCCCTCATGTGCCATTTCAGAAGACAAAGTGGAGGCACAGCTTTCCTCCCCTACACCCAAAAAGCACCCACATCCTCTAGCTGCCCTTGTATCAATTCCAGCCTCCCATGTGAAGGAGGATGGGGCTCCCTGCAGCATGAAAGTGATCCTGCTTTCCAGGACCCTGGGGGTGAAGATGTGTTGAGCTTTCCAACACAAACTGCACTAGACTGGGGCTCCATGAAATGTTCCGGTTTTAATTGTACAGTTTGGGTTGACCTGAGTTATCTGTCTCTTGGGGCTGATCAGTCTTCAGGCCAAGAGAGAGAGAAAGAGAAGGGAGAAGGAGAGGGAGAGAGGGGAGGGAAAAAGGAGAAAGGAAAGAGAATGAGGGAAATGCGGATGGAGGGAGGAAAGGAGGGCTGAATAGACTGAGGAAGCAAGGGAGGGATGCAGAGATGGAGGGAAGAAGGGAGGGAGTTTCTGGCTGAGAACTGCCCATCCCACCTGCAGACATGTCTGATTTAGTCACTTCAGTCATGTCTGACTCTTTTGTGACCCTACAGAGTATAGCCCTCCAGACTCCTTTGTCCATGGGATTCTCCAGGTAAGAATACTGGAGTGGGTTGCCACTTCTTCCTCCAGGGGACCTTTCCTATCCAGGGACTGAACTTGCATCTCCTGCATTGGCAGGTGAATTCTTTACCAGTGAGCAACCAGGGAAGTCCTCATCCCACCTGAGTGCTCCCCAGAAAATACCCATAACCCCCTGCCTCCTCTGTTGCTGGCCATGCTATCATCTGCTCTTGGTGCTCATGGCCTTCAGTTAAGAGAAAGTTCCTTGCCAATAATGAAGCAACTTTGGTACTAAATAAAGAAGTAAACTTTAAGAAGAGATGACCATCCAAGACCTGACACACAATTTGCAATGTTCTACAGGTACCCAGAATGGACCGGGAGGTACTGGGGGAGGTGGATGCTCTTGTGGCCATGATTGTCCTCCAACAGCATCTCATGGAGTAGGAGATGGTCTTCTCCTGCCCCAGCTCTGCTGAACACAATCATAATGACTTAATATGAATTAACATTGAGCCATTCCTTTTTTCAAACTAATTGAAAACTGCATATTGTCCTCATGCAAATAGCTCTTTATGTCAATTACTGAATGTGGTATCCACCATTTTTTAATTAACCCCTCTCCGTAGCTTCCTTTGAAATCTAGTTGACTGGTTCATCTTGTCACAATTACAGTCGATAAAGACCAAGATCTCTCCAAAGAATATTTCACTTTGTATTCAAAGGATTGCAGAAGGGGACCTGTGCTTTTGCTTTTTCATCCAGCAGGAATGCTTCTACACACACACACACACACACACACACACACACCCCTATGTGAAAATCCTACCCCTTCTTTACTTTTCCTCCAAACTTGTCCCAATTCTCTGACTTTCACTTAGGGGAGATATCACTTTCTCCCCTAGTGCTCCCCTGGAATACTGTGATTACAGTTTTCCTTCTTATTATGCTCAGTTATATACACACTGGGTCCAGCACTAAATTACAATCTACCAGAGACCAGGACCTATGTTTCCTGATGAGGTCAGGATTGAGATTTAAGCCTTCAGTGGGCGTGCAGCCAAGGGATGTGTGTCCGTCAGCTATGCTGCATAACAAACCACCCCAGAGGCTGCCAGCTTAAAACAAACATTTACTGGGTTCAAGGTCTGTAAGTTAGCTGGGAAGTTCTGTCAATCTGGACAGGGCTTAGTTGAGCTCAGCGAGTCTCATGCACACACTGATGGTCGGTTGATGGATCAACTAGAGGTTGGCTGATCAAGAACGGTCCCCCGGGCCTGGCTCTTGACTAAGCGGCCTTGTAAGTTGCAGCACGCGAGCCTAGGCTTGCTCTGCTGGGGGCTGGTCTGCATTTTCTCAGTGCACCTTGCAAGAGTTTGCACTGACCACTCTCAGCTGCTCTGCGGTGCTCCTCACCTCCATCCCCGTGGAAAGGGCCTTGAGGGACAGAACACAGAGCCACGTGCCGCATGGGCTTTGCCCTACACACAGAGCCCACTTCACCCCAAGCTCTGCTGGCCATGACCAGACTACCCTCAGGGCTCCAGGCTGTCTGAGGCTTCTGCTTCCCTTCTGGAAGCCTTGGATCACATGCACAACACCTCCTCATAGAGGACGTGGGAGAGAGAAAATATACCGTACGTCTACATGTGTATGTATGGGTGTTCAAAGGCCCACAGAGAGGTAAACACTAATTCCCACATACAGTCACTGTGTAAGTGAAAACAATGGATTTTCTAAATTTATAGGTTGCCTGTTTTAAGTGTACAGATAATTCAAATTACGAAAGGCAGGGGTAGGAAGGGGACTGTACTACATGTGAAGCTCCTGATATTTAGGACCCCCTGCACCTCCCAAGCACCTTGTGGCTTTTGTTAAGTCCCTTGACTTTTCTGTATCTTGGTTAAGCTTTTTATTTAAGCAGTTCTCAGGATAGTCTAGCAGGGTTGCCATAGTGACCAGAGAAGAACACAAATACAGATACAAATGAAAAGAACACAATGTTGTATAACTATGGGCCATTGTTGTTATTATTAGTCCTGTTGGTGCTGTAAATCAACTGAAAACACTCTTAGTCCAAATTTCCAAGCAGACTCTGATATCCTTCCCCTGCCCTGTATAAACGCTTTCTGTGTCATCCTAGTGAGTGGGCCAGAGGGTGTATTTCTGTCCATTCACACACCTTCGTTCATTCAAATCATTTTCACTAGGTGCCTGCTATGTGCCCAGCACTGTTATAGATGCTGAAGAGACAGGCACTTGCAGAAATGACAAGGTCTTTGTACACGTGGAATTTGCACTCTAGCGGGAAAGACAAAAACAAAGTTGTGGACAGTGATTTCTGATGCTGCACAGTGTTGTGAGAGAAGCGAACTGGTGGGGGTGGGGGGATGTAGTACCATAGGGAAAAGTTGGATGAACCTCCACCCTCTTGTGGTTAGGTGTCCCAGAAGCCCTCTCTAAGGAGATGGTATTTATGTTCAGTCCTGAAGGATGAGAAGAGAATTGAAACTAATGAAAGCTCAGAGAGGCAAAGCCACCTGCCCCAGTCACACAGCTGACCCGTGACAGATATCCATCAGGTTTTGATGTTCCAGATTCCCTTCCCCTACCCCACAGCTGCTCTGCTTTTTTCTTTTTTTTCCCCCAGATATAAAGGTCTTTATTCAACAAAATTATCTCACTCAGTAACAAAAGAACAGGATTTAACAATTCCCCTCAAGGTCTGGAGCAGTATCCAGCGCTGGCAGCAGGAAGCATGACCCGCTGACATATCAGCTGCTGCTCAGAGCCTCAGGTGATCACATGGAGGTCACAGTTGGGGTTCTTCCAAAGGATGACAAAGCCTTCTAGGAGAGGGGTGACAGGAAGAAACTCCTCAGTGGCCAATTCTGCCTCCTCTCAGTAAGCCCACATCTCTGGGGTTGTGTGTGCCTGGAATCCCGTGATGGTCTTAGGTTTGCCGTCCTGGCCCAAGCGGACATTCACTGGCAATGGCCAAAGCTCTTCATTGAATGTGACCAGCATCTGGGGCTGCACGGCAGCCACCAGCCCATAGAAGATGTAATGTGACTTGCCTAGGGCGATGTTGCAAACTAGGAAAGAGACAAGTAGTGAGCAGTCCAGCCGAGGCCCCTTGACTCACAGTGGAAAACAGCTGTGCTCACGCTGACACAGACCAGAAGGATGAAAGCCTCTCCAGTGTCCAATCCCTCCAGCCTGGAAATGAAGCTTGGCCCATTTTGTTACATGCCAGCCATCAGCCCTGTTCCTTGAAAACCACTATGACAGCTCTACCAAAACTCTTTTCCACACCCACACACATCTATCTCTCCCGCCTGGTATGACCACACAGCCGAAGGCCTCTGGGAGAAAGAGAAAAAAGGTGTCCTCCACATTGCCAGGCTGGTGCACCCGAGGCTCTCTAAAGTGTGTTCAGTCATTGCTTCACAAACCTTCTTCTCTGATCAGAATCAACCCATTCATTGAGTTAGCCATTGTTGTTGTTTGGTTTGAAGTCGTGTCTGACTCTTTGTGACCCCCTGGTGGACTGCAGCACACCAGGCTTCCCTGTCCTCCACTAACTTTCAGAGTCTGCTCAAATTCATGTTCATTGAGTTGGTGATGCTATCTAACCATCTCATCTTCTGCTGCCCTCTTCTCCTCCTGCCTTCAATCTTTCCCAGCAGCAGGGTCGTTTCCAATGAGTCAGCTCTTCGCATCAGGTGGCCAAAGTACTGTAGCTTCAGTTTTAGTCCTTCTAATGAATATTCAGGGTTGATTATAAAAGCTGAGATGCCCCCTCCTTCCGAGTCCAAGGTTCTGCTTGGTAAGGGCCTGTGGATGGAATACAGACTCAGAACCCCTTTACAAGAAGCCTTGTGGCACTACCCAGGAGGACAGGTTTGGTCAAGCTCAGGACAACCTGAAATGAATATAAAATAATCTGTGTCTGATGAGAGTATTAGGCAAAACTTTAGGGTCAATTTAGCTTGATTTAAATGTTTCCCACTCATTAGCAATAATTTAGAATACATTTCCTTTTCTCCCCCCAAACTTGAAGTTTTATTTTAATAGCTCTGTGATTTTGGAACAGATCATTAAAATTAATGATATTCCGTACGTTCCAGTGTGCCTGGTGGAGTCTGATCAGTGTTTTTCCCTTTATAGATCATCAGTAATAGAACACTTTAATGGCCCTAGTATAACACCATTCTCTCTCTCTCTCTGTCTCTGTTAATGAATAATTGCCATAGCCAGATATGGAACCCCCCAAAAAAGGAGGAAGCATATTTCATTAGGTGTGTCAATGCTGGACCCTAAATAATTCAGTACCCCATATTAAAATATTCAGTGCTCTCAGTGTCCTAATGGGATATAATGAAATGTCCCCAAATGCTGCCGTCTTAAAATTAACATCCTTTGAAATTCTGAAATCAATCAGTGACAATGACAAGAGCCAAATCTAATCCTTTATTGATTCGTGCAGCCAAAGAAAGGAAAAGGAGACTGGCTTAGTCCCACCCATCCAGCTGGCCGACTGCTGGCCAGCAGTGTTATTCATTCAGTCTGTGTCCTGGTGGCCTGAAAACACCAGCTGGTCAGCCCCCTGCTTGTATGTGACAGACAACCCTGCTGGATCTCCAAGACCCGGCCCTAGTTCCCACTTGAGGTGTAGGTTGTGACCAGGACTGTTCCATGCACCCATCAGAAGACACCTTTTGCTCTTGGGTGGAGCTAGACTGAGTTACCCATGGTGCAGGATGTAGGTGGTTCGTTTATTGGGAGGACAGGTCACTTATCCCCACAACCAGCTCTGTACCATCACTCTGTTTTATTCTTCACATCAGTTGTCACCCTCCTACATTATCTTGGTTATTTTGGGGAGGCTTCTTTGGACTCCATCCTCTGTCCTCTTATAAATTAATCCATATTAATTAACCTTATAAATTAATCCCATCTGTGCATGGGTGGATGAATGGATAGAGGATTGCATGGATGGTGGATGGATGGATGAGTAAATGGTTGAATAAATGGATGAAGTCATGGTAAGTCATGGATGGATGCATGTCACTCTCCTTGTGTTCTCTGCATAGAAAAACAATGCCTACTACATATTTGTTAGCTGAATGAATGACCCAGTTCCCATATCCAACAATGCTGAGAATTCCCCATCCCTATGAGCTTGCTACTACCTCTGTTCTTGCTAAGTGTCTTGCCTCACAGCTTACCATTGACCTGCTGGACCATGGTGTTTGCATCTGTATTAGACTAGGAGTGTTCTCTGCCTTACTGACAGTCAACTTTTCCCCTTCAGCTCATCTACATTCGACACACAGTAGGCCCTCACCCCTCCACACCTCTGGTAAGAAACCACATGGACCCACACAAAGCAAATCATAAAAGAGTACTTTGAATAATTCAACAAACAGCTCCTGGAATCCAGGCACCTTTAACAGGCATTATGTGCCTATTGGCTGAAACTCAAAGGAAACACAGAAAATGGGAAACCACAAGAAGTCTCTGTATGAAGATTAAAATTGCCTGGTGACAAAGCAGCCTCGTGTATCCAGTCAGACTCAAGAGGAAATAAGAAAATCCAGCACATAAATTGGAATTAGGTCAGAAGGGCTGGGACAGAATCACAGTGAAAACATCAGTTCACAAGAAGAAAATTGAAAGATGGCAGGAAGTTGGATGACTGACAACATGCTCCCTAGGAGAGGGGCTGTGGTTGTCCCGGCCTTGCCTCTGCAGAGTCACCCCTGGCTGGCGTGGGGCAGGATGCTTCTGGCATGGCCCAGAACAAGGAGAGCTCACTGGGGAGACCCAGGCAGCAAGAAGTTTACAAGTCCCAGGACACACATCTGAGTAGCTATTTGTTAACTCAATCTTCAGAGAGTTGGACCATAAAGAAGACTGAGTGCCCAAGAATTGATGCTTTCACATTGCAGTGCTGGAAAAGACTCTTGAGTGTCCTTTGGGCAGCAAGGAGATCAAACCAGTCAATCCTAAAGGAAATCAATCCAGAATATTCATTGAAAGGACTGATGCTGAAGCTGAACACTTTGGCCACCTGATGCAAAGAGTCAACTCATTGGAAAAGACTCTGATGCTGGGAAAGATTGAAGGCAAAAGGGGAAGAGGGTGGCAGAGGATGAGATGGCTAGATAGCATCACTGAATCAATGGACGTGAATCTGAGCAAACTCTGGGAGATAGGGAAGGACAGGGAAGCCTGATGTGCTGCAGTCCATGGGGTCACAAAGAGTCGGACATGACTGAAAGACTGAACAGCAACCACCTGGCTTTCACACCTTCCTTCGAGGCCCAGGGATCCCAGGCATGCGTGAGAAAGGACAATATAACCAGGCATGTGCTTACTTCTGAGGTGTGGACACAGCATCCACCATCCAGGAGGATGCAGAGACCCCTACGTAACCCCTCCACTTTATCTCCCAGTCATTCTCAGCACTGAGGACTTCAGTGTGGACCCTGGGGCAGTTGGTTTGAACAAGACAGACCTTGGAGCAGAACTGCTTGTAACACACAAGGACATTGTTCTGACACACTCTTTCTTTGCCAACTGCTTTGCCTAAATGCTGAAGGGCCCCAGGCTCAATCTCAACAGCCTTTCCTGGCTTGACCACATTCTTTCCATGTGGTCCTACCTGGCACTGATCCAAATAGCACATCTGGGGTCCCTGACACAAGCCCTCCCGCCGCCACACACACACACTGTTATTGTTGTTTAGTTACTCAATCATGTCTGACTCCTTGCAAACTCCTGAACTGTAGCCCACCAGGCTTCTCTGTCCATGGGATTTCCCAGGCAAGAATCCTAGAGTGTGTTGCCATTTCTTTCTCCAGGGGATCTTCCCCACCCATGGATCAAACCTGTGTCTCCTGCATTGGCAAGCGGGCTCTTCACTACTGGGCCCCCTGGGAAGCCTCTACCCACATTGTTACTCCAGCCTTAATGTCTCTCCTGGGCCTCAGAGGTACATGAAGCTGCCTCCTTCTAATGCAACTCAGAGCCATTTATGAACTTTCAAACCTCCTTGGGGCAAAACCGAAACCTGGTTGCCCATGGGTCCTGCCCCATCTCCTTCACACACCTCACTGTGCATCTACTCACACATACTCAGAGGCTCAAGCTGAAACCCTGGGGGCTCTCCTGGAGGAATCTTTTCCCATCAGCAGCCCCCACAGCTGACAGGCCAGCAAGGCCTGTAGACAGGTCTTAGAGTCCATCTGGATCCCTCTGATTCCCTCCACACACACAGATGCTGTCCCCAGTCAGGACTCTGGCCATGGCTCCCAGCAGAGGCCTCCAGTCCATCCCACAATGTTGACTGAGCCTTGCCATGGGCTGGGACAAGTCTGGGACAGGGGGCAGCAGTAAGCCAAACAGAAGCCCCCACCCTGGACCCTGACCCTGGAGCAGGGAGACCAGCGATAAACACATGCGCTGTGCCAGTAAGAGCCAGGAGGACACTGGGGAAAAGGCATGATGGGAGTCAGGGTGATGTCCCTGGGGCACGTGGCGAACACAGGTCATGTCTGTCCTGGCATGACTGTGAGGACTTTGACTTTTCTCTGAATGAGACAGAAGCCCCCAAAGTATTTGACATGAGGAGTGAGGGGTGTTATCTGGTGGTTGAGTAAAAACTAGACCCTAGGGAGGCGGGAGTGGAAGCCAAGACTCAGGTAGGAGGCTGGGGAGGGGTCAGGAGAGACTCCTGGAGAGACGCCACAGCCTGGACTGCCCTGTGGCAGGACGTGAAGAAGGATGGGCTCGGGGTCCACCTCCGCCCTCGGGCCCACCCTGCAGCAGCCCAGCAAGCCTTCAGAAATGTAAGTCAGCCCATCCCACCCTTGGGACTGAATCCATCCACAGATTCCTGCCATCCTGAACCTCTGAAGAGCCAGCCTTCAGGGCCCCCTACCTCCCTCTTGGGCCCGTCTCCTCCTTCACTGCACTGGAGCCAAGCCAGCTTCCCTGGGCACCTCCAGCTCATTCCTGCCCCAGGGCTTTTGCATTAGCATCCCCTCTCCTGGAGGGCTCTCCCTGGACACTCCCCTGCCTACTTCTT